TTGTTTGCTAAATTTGGAGTTCTTCTCTAACACATAATATTGAATTATTTCAAGTTGAAAATCGTAGTCTTACTGATTCATAATTACAGAGCATAATATATGATAAAATATATATCAAATTAGCTTATGTAAAATAGATTTTATTTTAACAAAAATTTATCGTATAACACAATTGTTAAAATATAGAATGTGCGATAAATGATTTCATTTTTTGATTTCTTTTACAAATATCCTTTCGATTATCGATGGTTATATTTAATTTTTGAATATATTAATATCCTTAATATGACAATAATAATATTAGCTGAAATCCCCGTTTATGCAAAAAACTAATTCATGCCCAAAGATTAATCTTTTTTCGCAACAATTCGAATCGCAGGGAGAATGACAAGAATGCGACGAATAATTTTAAGACGCAATTCAATGGCCTATTTCGACAGCAAGAGGTCAGTCAGACCAACGGTCGGTCGACAGGTGCAAATGGCAGCCGACAGGTGACAATGCGCGGACAACCTGCGAATCGACTGTGGAACGCGCTTTAATTACCTACCCGTCCGTTTCCGTCTGATCTAACAGTCGCGGTCATATATCCAGAAATACGTATTTTCCTGGTATTATCGTCATACACGAAAGGATAAAAATACCGATTCACATATTAACAAAATATATCAAAAATAGCACGTTGACGAATTTTAACGTGAAATAATTTGGCAAGACAAGTTAAATTTTTATTATGTCGCTTGAAAAATAGCTAAAAATCTTAATTTATTTTATGGATCGAGAGATTTCTTTTTCTACAATTGTACAAAAAAAAACTCTTCAGCCGATTAGACTCCAACTAAAGCCAAAGGATCTTTCTGATCGCAGCCTACTTTTAACGCATAGTAATTTCCATGGTGCAAGCATCGGCTAGCGTGAAACTCCTACAATTCCATCCAGCAGAACACAATCCTGCTCACGCTCCTGTCCCGATCCTCTCTCGAGGAAGCTCGCTCACCCAACCCACTTCAGCGTTGTTGTTTCGCGTCGCGTAACATCATACCGACGTGCATCTCTTTTCGTGCGAAGAGGACGAAGCGGTGATTATTATTGCGAATTCCTTTGCCGACAGCGGCACACGGCCTTGTTTTACCAAGTCTAATGTTTATTTATCGAGTTTACGGTTCATCCTCTTTCCGGCCCAGTTATCGCGCTGCGCCGCGTTGCGTCACATTGCGAAAGAATACCAATCTCAAAAATATTGCAACGTACGGCTCGTTAGCAAACGAGAAATATATTTATTTTCGGATTTTTATAGGCTGAGTGTGAAAAGAGAAATTACATTCAAATTATTTCCAAAAATATTAAAAGTATATTATATGACATTATCAAGTATATTATACGAAATTATATCAAGTAGATTTGTAACTAAATGTAATTTACAAAAACTTCTTTCTAAGATTGTATCTTTTGATAGAATCCTAATTATTATTTTGTCATTTTTATATTAACGATTAGACAATCAACAATAAAAATGAATTTGATGTGTTAAATGACATAGATATCAATTTCACATGTATATATTAAAAATAATTTAATTTATTTAATTAAAATTAATTTTCGGACAATCGGTTATAAAAAATTTAACAGACTATTGTTTAACGGAAGTGTTGTTGTTCCAAATAAAAAAAAAATCTGTTAATAAACGACAGTGAAATTTACTGCTCCTGTTGTTATTGCGACATTCGAAATTGCCCGTCTGTCAGACACTCGACTCGACACGTGTGGGTCGACTTATCGGGCCCTGCTTGCAATCGCACGATTTGTGTTTCATCACGTGTACGACCCACTTAAGCTATGAAATACACACTACAGAACGAGAATATCAGTTCAAAACAGCGATTTCCCACTGCCAATTTGCAAAGATATTCCGATAAATTTAGACTGAAAGGTAAATTCAAGGAATTAATCGCAGAAATGCTATATTTTTTGCCATTTAAGTGATCATCGCTATTTCAATGATTATATAACTTGCTAAAATGTAGAAATTTCTCTAAGAACAAAGAATTATGAAAATAAAAACCATAAATACATAAATATAATAAAATTATTTTTATTTAACAAAGAATATCACCAGTAAAAATTATTATCTAATCCATAATTTCAAGAGTTCTTCCCGGATTACATAATCATATTGGTAAGATTTCAAAATGACTAGAGCATTACGTCTATAAAAGCTATGTAACGCTACTATTCATGATGCAAACATTAAGAGGCAGAAAATAGACATTCTATATTTATATTTGCAGTACAATCTGCCAATAAATTTATAGATGGAAGACAGATATATATTTTTGTCTTGTGATTTTTGTATCATTTCTGGTCACTGTATATTTCGAAGCAAACAAGACATAAGTTAATTCACACGCGATAAATGTTTTATAAGTTTTAAATAAATCTTACACATACTTCTTAATCGTATTTCAAAATAAACTTGATAAGAAGGTGTACACCGGTAATTTAAATGTTTAAAATACTTTTTAACATTTAATACGATACATAAATCCTATTAAATTAAGATAGATTAAAACAAATTAAGAATTAATATTTAATAAATATAAAAGAAATTTCAAAACCTTTTCAAAATTACTCGTTCTATTAAAAGTAGTATAAAATAATAACAAGAAAAACATTTCAATATTGAAAGATAATTTTAAAATCATACTTGAGTTTATGTAATGTGACAAACAAACAAATACAAAATGCTTCTTATTTCCTAATATCGACAATTATTCGAATAATAGGTCCGACTCTAATTTTCGAAAGAGTGCTCAACGAAGCGAGCAGTAAAATCAATGCCGAGTCTCGAATGTGGCACGTGTGTTATACATGTACTCATGTCAGAGTTCCGCCCGAGGAAACAGCGGCTTTGTGCGAATTTTAATACCTCCGTCGGTGGCGGAGTCCTCATTTTACGCTTTGTCGATAAAATTTAATTAGGCGATTTCTTTTACCGCCCAGAGGAAATTCTGAATAACGCGAGATGCGTTAGATATACGATATCAATTATTATCCCCGCGTGAGCTATATAAAAACGCGAAATGCTCGTTAATGCGCCGTTAGACATTTGATATAAATTTCGTGAGAGTTATGCTATCCAATGCAATTTCTAAAAACTGAAGTTAACAAACGAAACGATGCATCCAAATGCGATAAAAAGTTAAAAATATTAATTTTTCATGAACTAATCAAATCTTTAGAAACACGTGAAATTAATAAATATTACGAGGCATGTAACGACTATATATCTTGTATTAGAAGAGAAAACACAAAAAAAAAAAAAATTATTTTTTGTACTTTCATCTTTATCAATCCTTTCGAAATATAAGGACGAGAGTGTCGCAATAAAATAATAATTAATAATACTTTTAATATAAAAAATTGAAAATAACGTGTCATATTTTGCGGCAATAAATATCGCCTTAAAATTAACTTTTAGCTTATAAGATATTTCGTGTAGCGCGTAAACACGACTGTTATAACAAAATTAAAAAAATACTAGATGTCCATCACAGATCACGCAGTATATGTTCATGAGATTCAAACACCTGGTGCATCGCGCGCTACGTGAAACCTGTTCAACCGAAGCGACTCATTTGTCACTCGTTTTAGATCTGCCGGTTTCTTTGTTCGACGCAACAACATATGGACGAAACAACATCGGCAACGAACGAGCGTGTATACACGTATTATGAAAAGCATGAAATCCGTGTAAGAGAGGAGAACCGTTAACGCGCTGCACTTCACTCGCTCATGTACATATATATATATATATATATACATACGTGTATAAATGTCTGTATGCCCGCGCTTCTCCTCAATTACCCATTACTACTACATACGAGAGCGTATTCACCTCGCGCGAACGCATTCTTTTTATTAACGGCAACTACCGCGCACACGTACGATGCACCTGCGATGACTAACAGTAACACACGGATGAGAGAAAGAGAGAGAGAGAGAGAGAGAGAGAGAGAGAGGAAGAGAGCAGCTCGATCTACGAAACAATCGCGTGCGGGAGTTGCTCTATCAGTTTGTTACGAATCTTACGACCACGATTGATTACGTCTTATTTAATAGCTTTCAAACGTCGTTTCTGACGATAACATGTATTAGAAGTTACTAATTATACCCGCATCAATTATACATATAAGGGGAAAGAGAAATAAAATTTTGAGTATTTCAATATTATATATCCTCTCCCACAATTTTATGTATCTCTTAAATATTATAAATTTTACAGGGGAATATAAAAATATATTTATACAGAAAACTGTTCTGTATAGAGAATTCAAGGATTCAGAAACTTGATAAATATATAATTTACGTTATTTTATAATTCTTAAATGAAATTATTTAGGTAATTTATAAATGTATGAATTGTACATTTACACATATAATTATATTAAAAATTAAGGCTTGCAATGTATTTTGATATCTAAGATAATAGACTATTTTTGATGTCTAAGATGATAGACTATTTTATGGATGACGTGCAAAATTTTAAATTAATTAATTTAATTTTGCATGACAATGACACAGCATTATATACATCTTCATTATTGAATTCTTTGAGCCTTAAAGATTAAAATAAAAAAGAATAAAATGTGTATTAATTATGTATTCTTTCGTCTTTGAAAGAGAGAGAAAACAACTTGAGATAAATTTAATATTGCAATAAAACGGTTTGAAGGATATCACCGAAGGAGATATCGAGATCACAAACAATGAACATACGTTATTCTCCGAACAGACAATCAATCTGTTCAGAGCTCACTACTTATCTTAAGATTATTTATAATTTATATAGAGAACTTTTGTTTTTAGAGAATCGGATTTCTCAATATTTCGAAAAATCTGTCTCGTTACTAAAAAAATATCCTTTAAATAGCTTTTACTTTAAAGCTATAAAATAAAATTTATCACGATCCCTGAACTCTTTCACTTTTTTTTTCTTTTACCTGACTTGCCCATCGGTGGTTGCTGAACCACCTGAAGAATCTCCTGGCCGTTGTGGCCGCCGGCGGTCTACAGCCATCTAATATAACCACACCGTTGTTGTTATTGTTGTTGTTATTATGATTGGACCCTCCGCGATCCGACAGCGCCGTCCTGCTGTAGGGCGACATCCAGGCCGTCGTCGTGCTCTGTATAGTCGCACCCTTGACGGTGGTGATGGAACTGGTTATCTTGGCGCCCGGGTGGGGCACCCAGTCCTCCGAAGCGACCGGCATTTGTCTCGTCTTCTCGTCCGACGAGTCGAAGACGAAGCCGCAAAATACGAAGGTCATTCAAAGTCGCTTGGCGCCCTGCCGCGCTGGTAATTAAGAGAGCCCCTCTCTTCCGTATCCGAGGGAACGTATCCCGTTCGCGAACGTCTTACGTCCTCGATGAGAGAACTCTTCAAGGTTTCCTTAACGCCGACACTCCGTATCGTACGACTTTAATAAGTAACGTCGCCTACATCGCGAGCATCTGCGATCATTCGAATCCACGATTCGAAATTTCGTATCGGAGAGACTTTCTTGAACCGTGAAACTCGACCCGCGAGTTCGCGATTCAAGACGCGATCGAGAAGAAATATTCGAATTTAAGACACTCGGTTTTCCTTCGCAAAGGAAACTCTCGCAAGGAGATACCTACGCGCGGCGAATCGCGATCGACTGATCCTCCTTCTCGATTTATTGTCTGCTCGCTCGCGAACTCTCGGCTCTCTTATCAGCGACGACGTCGAACGACGACCGAAAGTTATCGCTGTAACATGCGTCACCAAGTCTTACGTAAAGATGGACACTTTAATTGATCCGCGCGCGCGCGCGCGTATTGCGTTCACCACGTGTTCGCCCTTCAACTTGTTGCGCGTTCGATGCACAGGCTGCTCCGAAATCGATCGTGGAAACACGTGGTTCCGGAGCAATTCTTTGACATTTAATAATGTCAAAGATTCCGTCTCCTGGACGATTTAATAGCAGACAGTTTCTCGCAAAATCGATTATGAGACGAGACGATGATCAACTTGGTTGAGCTCGAAAACACTTTAATTGGTCCAATGAAATCCTCGATCTTCTCGAATCGATTCGAAATCTTCCTATCGTGAGATTAAGCTTCGTTGGAATAAATTCGTTAATCAAATCGTGAGAGAACTATTGCACGACGACTAAGTGGGTTTGGTATTTGGTAAGTTACAAGGTACTCCGTTTCCACAGTGTTGCAGCCTAAATAATACTAGACTCGTTTCATCGCGAAATTCTTCTCGTTATTGCGACATGTTGCGCACTGTTGAAGACTCGTCTACGCGTGACGTGACCAAGACGTCGTTGTGCCGCACGCTGTTATAACAGTCGACACGCAAAGGTCGAGGTTGAATGTATATATATATAAAATATATATATTCTTCTTTCTTCTCTTTCTCTCTCTTTCTTATTCGTTCTCTATCACCGTCGGTCGTGCTCGGTCGATCACGTAGCTCTCTCATTACTCGAACATCGCCGCATCGCGAAGACCTATCATTGCCGTACGCAGTTCATTCGCCCTGAACGCGAGCGCGACGACCAGACGATTCCAGAATACCGACGACTTGGAGACACAATACGATGTACATAATACGTTATTCTCTCGGAGTCTCTACACGTTTCCCTTTCTCTCTCTCTCTCTCTTTCTCTTACGAAGAGAACGAAGGACGAACGGGTCATCCGTTTGAATCTCTCTCACTAAAACCTCTCCTCGAAATCTTCGAAAAAATAGACCGCGTCACGTCACGTTACGTCACGTCACTCGGTGATAGCTCGACGAACGATTATATTTCACACTCGCGAAGAACACGCGTTTTAACCCATCCTGAAGAGCACCGGACCGCGCGATTCTCGCGGAAGAACGTTTCGAAGAGGACGTTCCTCGCGCGTATTCCACTCGAGGTTCACTTTACCGCGATCGACAAAGACCAAGACCGGGTATCGTTCGCTATCGGGGAAACCGCGATAGACTACGAGCGCGTTATATGTACCGAGCGCCGCTTCTCCTCAGCACTACTAACGTGCCACCTTCGCCGCTATGCCGTGCCTCTCTTCTACAACCCCCCCTCCTCTTCCACGGCCGCCGTCGTCAGCCGATCGCGCGCGGCCCGCGCGTTGCTTGTAGAGAGGTTACGCTTTTCCCCCCCACTCTCCGTCCCACTTGCTTTCTTACGCTCCGCTCTGCGGCACGCACACCCGCGCGCACACCCGGTTACCGCTTACTACTACTACTACTACTACCTGCCTGTCCGCCCTCCCCGCACGTGGGGTGATACGTCTCGCTCGAGGCTGCGTAAAGGCCCTATCGCGTCTCGCGAAGATTTAAAATCAATTCTGGAACGGTTATTCGTCTCTTTTTTAGTACTCTCTCTTTCGGTACGTATATCATTAAATCATATGGGCTTTATATCTTAAAAATTATAATATATGATATATAATGATTTTTTAATTTTAATATCGGAGTACTAATCATATATTTTTAAAATCGAGAAATTTGCAAAAAGTGAAGTTGATCAATTTGACGTTTGAGAGGCTCATGTAACGGAAACTAAAAAAAAATTTGAATATTTCTGCTTACATACATATATATGTATATTATAATTATTAAGATATAAAGATAAAAATATGAGAAAATGTTTATCTTTAAACAGAAGCAAATAGTAATATTAATATAATATAACAAGCTTTTATCTTCTTTTCTGTCTATATTGTAGTTGATGCTAGAATAAAGAATAAATATTGAATCGCTGAGCGAGAATTTTAATTAATTCAAGCCCAGAATAAATATCTCTTATTAATGAATCGCTTTTGTAAATATTGTTGCAATCTCGATATCTCTCCACGAACGTGCAAAATGGACTTAATCGTTCCTTCCCTCTCGATTCTCCCTACCAGAGATCTCTGTATCTTCATATCTTTTCCTCTCTCTGACTAGACCGGTCGCTCGTAAACACATTCACACACAACCAAGTATACTTAATACCCTTCCTACCACACTATGTAATGCCGTACGCGTCTATCGGACTCGCCAGGTCGACGGGTCGACAGGTTGCCGTTCGTCGACCACGGACCCTTCTTTCAAGCCATAAAAAACTCTATCGGAAATAAAGTAACCGGAGGATATAAAGATTAAAAATGAACAAAAAAAAAAAAGATAAATGCAGAAAAATCAATAATAATAATAATAATAGAAAGCTTTTCAGCTCATCTTCTTATCGTTCATCTATTTCTTTTTTATTTTATTTTATTATTTTTTTTTTTTTCGAGGGAAATTTTCACAATCGATACATGTTTGGGGCCCGAAAAGTAGCCGATCCGATACTGGACGCTCGCGACAAAACGATACGACGGACAATGTTCATGACGAGTATATCCGCCTTACGTTGATACGTGTGTGGTATTGTTGCGTAGGCGGTGCAACGCGAGTACACGCGCGTGTGTATGTAAATGCACAGGGGATCGAAGAGGGGGAGATCGAGAGAGAGAGAGAGAGAGAGAGAGAGAGAGAGAGAGAAAGAGCCGGGAGCCCACCGATGCTGGCGCACCGTGACAGACAGAGAGTTCCTCTCGCGTGCGTATGTGTGTGTACACGCATACGCCAAGGTGTTTCTCGTTATAGACACTCGTGAAACAGTCACGCGGTTTTGTCGCGCCATATTTGAAAATTTCTAAGCTGCCTCGCGATTTAATTGAACGAGATAGACAAATGGAGAGATCTATATTTTTCTTTGACTTTATATAAAATCATAGAATCAAATGTATGATTTCGACTCCGATCAAGTTTATTTTGTCTCTCGACGCAGATAACCAACGCGAATGTTTCTTCTGCTGTTCGCCGAGATCGAAATGTGATTCGTATTCAACGAGCTGGCATTATCGGCCTTTATTACATCCTCGATATTTGCTACGAGAGATCCAATTTATAGGTGCCCTAAGAGCGTGACGAGGTTCACGCGCATTGACTATGTTCGTGTTCTGAGAACTGGTCAATTGATTCGCTGATAAGTCTAAACAACGATTCGACATATGCGATCGATAAGTGATCGTTCGGGCGGCATACAGCTGGTTGCTAACCGGAATACGAGGGAAAACAGGGAATAATGCAACACGCGGAACGAGAAAGGAAGAAACTAAAATAGACGGAAAAGAATCATAGAATAAAACAGAATGAAATTTATTGTAGTAGACTTGAAAAACGCAAAATTTTTCCAAAATACTCTTTCTAACTTAAAGCACTTAAGCACTGAATCAAAATAAACTAAATATAGGAAGAAAAAGTATTATTGTAGTTATTATTCATTATAAATTGTTATTTTAACGTAGTTAATGTGTATAATAATATAATTATCTTTCCGCGTATAAATGAATTTAAAATAGAAAGATGAAAACAAATTATATATATAACATGACTATAAATGCTAAACTCCGATAATAAAATAAGTAACATAAAAATAGATAATTTTACGATTTAAATAAAATTATAAAGAATGTAATATATATATATACCAAAGAGAAAAATATAAAAATAATATAAAGAAAATATAAGGAAAAGCAAGAAGGGGATAATTTGCAAGGATTCTCTCGATGATTTTTCCTTTCCTATACTATTGGCAAACAGATCACATATTCACGTTGAAAATGGAAAGTCGAGGCAATTATTATTCGGCCGAGCGGCATAACAGAGTCCGTTCCAAAGGCGAAGTAAAAACAGAAAGCGTGTCCGTTCGCGAGCGCGAATGCAGCGAGACTTCACGCCCGCGCGTCTCTTCACCGCGTTTCTGCAAACAAGGCGTGCTACAGGGATTTCAAATACGGATGTGCACTTAGCGCTGTGTTAAACTTCGCTATTACCGCAAATGCACGCAGATTACAATTACGAAGTATCCCATTAGAAGCGCGCGCGAATGTCTTCCCAGCCACAAAAGCTGCCAGAAGTGAAACTAGAACGAATATCATGTAAACTACCATGTATCATCCACTCGAATTTTTTTCAGGATTTTCTAGAAAAGTAACTCTGTTGTTACCATATATCCAAGTTTTATAATAGAACATATTTTTTACCTTATATATATCATAGAGCTCAACAAATTATTCTATTTTTATGTTAAAATATGTTAAACAATGATTCCTGTTTATGTATATTTTGTTACTAAATTTTGTTAACGCGGGATGGTTTGGTTTGCTTATTATACAATATATTTAGAGAAAACACGAGAGAGAGAGAGAGAGAGAGAGAAAGAAACAAGCCCAAAACGTGATTCCATTTCGCGGTAAAACCCAATTTTGTGAACGGATAAAGGGATAACAGATTCATTATCTTTGTCCATCACCGATTTTCGATAGTTGATATAAATACAATCGATAATATTAATATCATATCTAACTTAAATAGCATTTAATATGGATAATAAAAATAAATTCTTTTATTCTCTTATAAAAATAAATTTTAGCACATAAATTCTCCAAAATTATTTTTTCGAAAATCTCTCGTTCAAAATCACTAAATATGAGATTTAAAAAAATTAGCCCATAAAAAGAAAGAAAAAATAATAATTAAATAACACGTAAGTGCAGCCAACATTTGCTGATGGGCTGAAAGCTTTGTATTAGGAACGCACAATTTCTCAAATTGCCGAGGATTAGAATGAATTTCACGGCTATTAGCTCGGAAATTTTCCGTTCGTTCGCCCGGCTTCCGCGAGATGTTAATTACGATAAACCGATTACACATACACGCATTTATACACACGTATATGCACCGCCGCTTGGTGATTAGTAGCGGCGCAAGTAGGTAATGGTGCAATCAGAACGGCCCCGGGGCCGCCATCGTCGACCTATCTTCACCTATTATCAGCATCCTGATGGGTTTAGCCGTCAGGAAGCAGAAATCGGCCGAAGAGGCATAATTATTCGCAATCGATTTCCGATGCATCGGAAACTGTCGTAACATCGCTGAAAGACAGATAAAACGCATTATCTTCGTCGCGGTGCACCTGCGAGTCACAGCGCGGACAATGTATCCGATGTATCCTCGCCGCATCTGGGTAAACGAAGCCGGAGATTTATCAGAGCGGCTCTTCCGCACCATGTGTAGACAATGACCCCGGTTTACGACGCGTTATCTCACGTTAAGTTGCGGGCATAAGACAAACGCACCCGTGCGTATCCGTAATATACGCAAATTATCTCATTGAATATTTTAATATTAATTCTAAAACTCGATGAATTTTCAGCAATTTAAATTTCAAAAATACGAAACAAAATTTCATTCTCGTTTAATTTCAGATAAACTTTGACGGACTTTCAATTCGAAAAGCTCGGTTATCAAAATAGTTTTAATTTTGACAATTAAAAAATAAGTGTAATATTAAAAATAATATTATAAATATCATCTCAGAAGTTTTGAAAGATGCTATGTATCTTTGTCCAAGATGATCGAAAAAGGAAAGAAATATTATTCAGCGAGAATACTGAAACGAACTGCAGAATGCAAATTTTGCTTCTTCTAATGGAATTCACGTCATTGGCATAATATAATCGTTAAGGACGACCAACGCTGCTGCAATTGCCTCAGCTAATTATATGTTAATATAATGTAAATACATATCACTATCTAAACATTAAGAGTTAAACGTTGTTCTAAATAAACTTGATTATGTGTAAGCAAACCAATTATGCAACTGTGCATCTTCTAAAAACAATTTAAATAAGTTTAAAGTTTCATTTGAATTTTACTATAAGTTTTCCAAAAGTAAATTTTTCATTTTTCATTTTTTTTTTTTTTTTATAGAAAACGTTTTGTTGTAATTTTCTCTAATATTTTAAGATATTATTTATATAAATTCTTTACTCTTGTCCTCCAAGTTTAAATTTTTTTCTTTTTTTCTCTAGAATCTTAAAATGTTCAAAATTTTTAATTACGTACATGGCACATATTAAACTTTTTTATTATATGAGACTATTATACCACGAAATTATTATTCAACAGTCTATATCCATGGTGCTTTCATTTTCCCGCAATCTAAGTAATACT